ATTGCCGCCATATTTATCACAATGTTTTAGCCGTTGTATGCTCTGGCTTCAGGTGGTTGGAATGTTGGACTGAACCCTTTATTTCACTCTCTGGGGTAAACTGTTCTAGTTCCACGTACCGTGTCTAATGGATGTCAGTTATCAATTATCTCCTGTTAATTCTCCTCTCCATGTTTTTCACCACCTTAACCAGCTATTGAACTCACACTCTCTGGGTCCTGTTACTGAATTTAACTAACGCCTTTATCCACTGTGCTATGTGCCCTTGAGGTCCAGTTCAACATTTCAACCACCTGAAGAAGGCTGGAGCATACAATGGCTGAAATGTTGTGATAAAGATGGCAACAAAGATGAGGATGATAGTCCGAACAATGTAAACAGTAATAACTCATCTCAGAAATATAGACAGATACTGAAAGGCCGAAACATTGTAATAAATATGGCGACAAAGATGAGAACAATAGTCCGAACAATGTAAATAGTCTACATAATACCTCATCTCAGAAATATAGACAGATACTGAAAGGCCGAAACATTGTAATAAATATGGCGACAAAGATGAGAACAATAGTCCGAACAATGTAAATAGTGTACATAATACCTCATCTCAGAAATATAGACAGATACTAAAATTCATTGATAATGAATTTCTATAGTAAAAGTTATTGGCCTGTAATGTGGTTGTAATTTGTTGTTGATGTAGTAGTTTTCTCGATGTGATATTATTTGCTGAGTGTAAAAGGGTGGATTTTGTGGTTGTATAATGTAATTATTCTGTTGCTATATGTATTTGTAGTGTAAGAAGAATCCTTTTCTCTGTTTTTTTATATTGAAAACAAAATGAATTAAAACATACAACAATAACACAAACAATAAGACTCGAGACAAGTGTTGACATAAATAACAAGAATTTGTATTTTCTTTTTGTGATGTGAATTACAGAATATTATTTGTATGGTGTATGTAAAAATGTTCTCAGTGTCTGTTTTATTTAAAAGTCAGTGCTTACTTGGTTTGGTTCTGAGAATTTTGTTTGTGAGGATGGCGTTTGGAAATCACCTGTTTTTGATCATCATGGAGCACTGGTTAGATGTGTGTTTCTATACTGTTACTGCTACTTGACTACTCATCTACTGACTACTGCTATGGGTACCCCAGTCCACTCTACTCTACCGTCTGACTCTTGAGGTGGAAGGGTTGGTTTTATAATGATGAAGGTAGGCTGATGAAATATCCTTCTTTTCTATCATCACTGATGGCAAGGTTATTTTTAGAATGGTGAAATATCATTATCATTCTGGACCATAACAGAATTACTATAGTAAAGTCATTGATAATGCATTCCTATAATAAAAGTTATTGATCAATGAATTACTATAGTAAAAAATCATTGATAATGCATTCCTATAATAAAAGTTATTGATCAATGAATTACTTTAGTAAAAGTCATTGATAATGCATTCCTATAATAAAAGTTATTGATCAATGAATTACTTTAGTAAAAGTCATTGATAATGCATTCCTATAATAAAAGTTATTGATCAATGAATTACTTTAGTAAAAGTCATTGATAATGCATTCCTATAATAAAAGTTATTGATCAATGAATTACTATAGTAAAAGTCATTGATAATGTATTCCTATAATAAAAGTTATTGATCAATGAATTTCTATAGTAAAAAGTCATTTATAATGTATTTCTAGAGTCATTGACCAATATCCATAAAAAGCAAATCAGCCAGTCAGTCAGTTCACTGGACAATATATACTTATATAGCATGTAAAAAGCAATATTTTTCTCACAATATATATGTCTTTTTAAATATTGGAAAGCTTCGGCATATTATGGGAAAATAACTTCTTTCTGAACATCTAGTAAAATTGACTGGTGATTGTTCTGACCAGTTGCTGATGGTCCTCTCTGTCGTACAACCATCTGCATTGCTTCATGACAGGTAAAGTATTGAGGCATCATTTGTGGTGAAATTGTGACAAGTTTTGTGATGATACCCTTCAATTGTTCATCATTCACTGCACCTGTGATGACATCCAAGGTTGATTGTATTTGCAGATACACCCAACTCACTATGTGCACAGGTTTGTCTTCTTGGCTTCTTTCAACAACAAAAAAAATGAAGTTGGTTGGGAATTAGCAACAATACAAATTCTCACTTAAATGTGGGATCCTTCCTTCAGCTTCGTGAGGTGGGGGGCTGCTATCTTCAATGGCCTTGGCGACTCCTGATTCCTCACTACTGGTTCTTCTCTCAGTTGCCGCTTGGCAGCTCCAACTCCTCTAGTCACGTAACTACTTCCCTCACGGCTAGACACACTTTCCTCCCAACTTCCTGCCTCTCCCTCTCTCCTTATATGGATAATCCTGGGGTTCTACCCCCTCCATCCACTTATCTTTATGGAAGATTTGGGTCCACCCCAAAGTCACATGTGTGTTCAAATCTTCGAAAGACTACTTTTATGATTATCTAAAATCATTTATAAAATTTTTATGTTTTCCAATTCAAAGGTGAACTGGAGACATGAATCCTGAAACACTAACTCCTAAGTTCATTCAAGATGGACTGAGGACAAAATTCCTACGAAATTCTATAAGCTGAGTGGATTTAAATTCCTTCCATTTATCTTCTAAAGATGTGTGAGAAATCAGATTGTTACGGCTGTTTATTGTGGAACTTCTTAGACATCCTGACCAACTTGATTCTGCATTGCATGTAAATGTTCTTGCCAATGTGCAGGTGACAATTGATTGCAAAATAGGTTCCCAAGCAACAAATACAGTTTTAAAGTAACTATCAATCAGAAAGACAACGATCTTCTGTTAATGATTATTTTTCAGGTATTTCTCATGAAAACTATATTGTAGTTAAATAATAAACTACAAAATTATGAAGACAGACAACAAGTACAAATGATTGTTATTACAAAAATTATATTTTTAATAAACAAATATATTAAGCAATATTGTGGAATAAATAAGACACCCACGGTAACACAAATGAACTAGGCAAGACGCCTTAAATAAAGAATCCAAAGTGGGTTAGAAGTCCATTGGAGTCAGTCAGAGGTAATTCTAATGTTGTCACGGCAAGTAGCCTAAGCTAGACATAATATTATAACCACTAGGAATGAGTTATAACAATAACTTTTATAACAGAAATACACTGTATGATTTTTGCTGTAGTTATGTTCAGAATTTAGCTACGGGTAAAATAGCAGTGTAGCTTGGATGGCAGTGTAAGAGAAAGAAAACTTTGAATCCCAAACTGTGCAGGAGGCAATGGAAAACCACTCCACTATCTTTCCAAAAAAATCATAGCAATTTACAGATAATACAGAAAAGGAATCTGTGGAGGGCCATGACTGCCTATAAAATCCTAGTATATTTTCCACACAAGAATATTAACTTTTTATTAAAAAAATTAGTTGCAATGTACTTATTTATTGGTAATAATGTACACTGACCAAGAAATTTTGCTATATTAATGAACTACTAATGATATATTAGATATAACTTTTACTATATAAATGCATTATCAGTGACTTTTGCTATAGAAATTCATTGGTCAATGACATTTACTCTAGAAATTAATTATTGTTATATAGGAATAAAGTGTCACTGCCGACACTTGGGTTTGAACACGGATCACCAGAGAGCAAGCCCAGTCAAACTCATCTTGAAATAATTAAATCATGTGATGGGTAAAGGAAAAGTAAATATATGGGAATTAGTGGCATCTGACCAAGTACTGTTCGAAGATGTTACTATTGTTGTATCTGTGATTTACAAAGTCTCTCCCACAATCAGGTATTACAAAAATTATCAATGACTTTTACTAAAGAAATGCATTGGCCAATAACTCTTATTATAGAATTAGCAGTAGAGCCCGGCGTTGCCCAGGGATGTAACAGTAAGAGATAGATCAAGTATAAAGACTGAAAAATAAAATTGACAAAGATTATTGTTTAAGGTTGACGGACACGCATGTCTTAATTAGTTTTTTTTTGTTTTTTTTACGAATTGGTCAAACCCAAACTCAAACAAAAACATTGTTTTCAATCGTTATGAGTCTACTGATTGAATAGAATTTTATTATAAACAATTGTCTTGTAAATGGAATTTTTAAAGCATTCTCAATGTAAAAATAAAGAAAAAAGTGTGCAAGACAATAAGAAACACTACCTGTTAAAAAAAAAGGGAAGTTTTGTTGAAATCAGTTGAAAAATGTAGGAAATCCGATCCCATATATAAATGAACACACACACAAACAACCTGGGTTTTATAATAAGTATAACTTGATATGAGTTGTCCCCCTTTCATTCTTGCGATGCCTCTTAATCGTGTTTTCAAATTGATTTCGTGCAAAAACAATTGTGTTTTTTCCAATTTTTGGCGCTGTAAGAACCACCGCAAGGTAATTTTACATAGTCCTGTGAAGTTTTGTTGAAATCGGTTGAAAAATGTAGGAAATCCGATCCAATATATAAACATACACACACACACACACACACACACACACAACCTGGGTTTTATAATAAATATGATTTCATTGCTGAGGATTTCCAATATAAAATTTACTATAGAATTGCATTGTATATTTTTGTTACTAAATATATTCTCTGTGAATGAAAATAAAAATGAATAAACCGAGATTTATACCAAGTAGCCAATGATGACCCCTTATATTCTAGTCATTCCTTTAATCTTGCTGGTGTTCATTAAACGCTGGGGAAGAATACACTGCATGCTCACAATGCCATGTCAAGAAAGAAAAAAGATGAACCATTTCCAAATTGTTGGTGTGTTTCAAAGATAAAAAAGTGAAGAAACATTCACCATTTGCAAGGGGTATATCCAAACAAATTGATATGTTCAAGGCATGAATGTAAAAATGGTAAATGTTTCGAGGCCACTATCTTCCTTTTGTTTCTTAAAGAGAAAAGAAAAAATGGTCAGGGCAGAATAATGAAATTTATTCTAAGGGTTAAAATGAATAATGCAAGGCAGGGGTGTTCAATTCAAGAAAAGAATGAGAAGATCCAGGCAGGGAGTGAGAGACAAGCAGAGGCATGAGATAATGGATAACCCTAGTTATATTTGAAGAGATAAGGGAAAGAATGAGAAGATACAGACTATGAGTGGGAAAAGAGCAGAGTTATGAGATAATATATAATCTTAGTTGTATTGGAAGGGATAAGGGAGTGAATAAGAAGATACAGGTTAAGAGTGAGAGAAGAAGCATGAAATAATGGATAATCCTAGTTATAGTGTGCGATGGATTAATTGTCATCTAAATTATGCAAAAATGAAAATAACACTGACATCTCATTTTAACAAATATATTTATCAAAATTACACAAGAATGTCTTGAAATACTAAAGAGTAAATTTATTCAGTAAAATCACAGAACAATCAGTGTGAGTTTTCCTAGTTGCTGTACCTTCTTAAACACTATTAGATTCATCTAACTCTTCCCGAATCCTCTCCACTGTGATCAGATTGACACCCAAACACTCTGAAATGTTCATATTAGAGCTTCTGGCATGAATGCCAAACAGTACAGAATGCCATTTCCAAATTTCTGGTGTAGTGAATTGCATCATGGGACTCTTTTTGTCATAGACTGAGCCTACTATACTCTGCAGTCGACAAAATCGAATACAAACAATGTGCATGTATGAAATTAAAAATAAGAAAAGATTAAAGGTGAGAGAAGAGCAAAGGCCTGAGATAATGAGTCTTAGTTGTATTGAAAGGGATAAGGGAAAGAATGAGAAGATACAGGCAATAAGTGGCAGAATAGCAGAGTCACAAGAAAATGATTTAATCTTAGTTGTATATAGGGATAAGGGAAAGAATGAAGATATGGGTAGAAAGTGAGAGATCAGAGATTATTGATAATCTTAATTGTAAGCACTGCATAGAATGTCCCTGGTTCCAGCCATTTAAAGCATTAAAGCAAAGAATCACCTATTCTTGGAGCACCATACTCGACTTCCACTTGGTTTCCATTCAGTGTTACATGGTGGTAAAAGATTTTCGGCAGCTTTCAATATTTTCTGCTTGTTGCGAAATTCTTTGATTTCGTATTTGATTTTCTTCAATACTTTTGTTGGTTGGCCATTGGAGTCGTAGAACTGACCAGCAAGATAACCTGAAATTTAAAATAAAGACAAAGTTAAGGATTTTATAAGCATGTATGGATGATATCATTTTTAAATTCTAAAGTTGGATTGATAATTTGTTAAAATACAGGGTGCGATAGGCAAATTGTCACCATTATATATTGAGGAGGTTGTGCTGCTTTGGATCAAAAGAGTGATATTAAAGCTAGATCATTGCAAAGATCAACTGCCAAGCTGTGGTTATCTAGACTTTGGGAGGTGCATGACTGGAGTATAATTATAATTTCTTAGTTCAAATGATCATTACAGATCTCAGTTGACTTTTCTTAAAAATACTGAAAGAATGACATTGAAAAAAAATATAAAACATTGACTGACCAAGTAGTTTATAATTTTCATTGTAGTATAACATCCAGTTGGACAAATCTGCCAGCTGCGATGACATAAGTGATTCTATATCATCAGTTAAACCTTCCTCTGTGAAATCCCCAGTCACAAAGGCACGAGATCCATCAATACCTGGAAACAAGAAAGTATTAAATAATCATCAGTTATAGCTACGTTTATTTTTTTTTTTATATGAGTGGCTATGTGATAAATGAACAATTTTAAATACCGTCGTTTCTCACCATTTTGTGCTTTGACTTTCATGGTTTCTCTTTATTGTGTTTTTTTCAGATCTTTTCATTAAAAAATCATATTGTGCTCCTCGCTGCTTTGATGTTGTGGGTGTGACGTGAATCACTTGTTGGTGATGTTGACTGCGTATTGGTACAAAGGAGTCCACAAACAAAATTGTTCAGAACTTAGTTGACAACAAAACGAGTAAAAAACAAGGCAATAGTATTTGATCAAAATAAAGCCAAATATAATTTTTAGCAACAAAACCAAAACAACATACAAAAATATTTATGCAAATAGGATAATTGATTTCAAGGATGTGTTGAAAAGAAAACATCAAATTATGTTTATTAGTTCTTCCAAGGTATAAAGAATGTTTATGCAAATGATTTAGCAGAGCAGTAACCTTTGTTGTGCAGTACATCTCTTCATCATTAAACAAGTTGCATTATTTTTCCTAGGTTCACACTAACCTAGGAAAATAATGCAACTTGTTTGATGAGTAAGTGATGTACATGTAAGAACTTTGTGTGTGATTTTAATGAATAATATGATATTTCTAACGTCTAATGTTTTACTTTCTCTTATTTTGTCTAATATATTGGGTAATATAAGTATAAAGGTGACAACAGGGGCATTATTTCATGCCTAGAGAGCTCTGTCAAAAACTGTATTTAGAAGGTCGTAAACAGGTTTTCTATGCTCTATGAAAATATTTGAATTATAAATAAAGAATCCTACTTCACAGAAATTCACTTATTGCAGTAGGGTCTGGAATTGATTAACTGTGATAAACAAAAGACAATTGTATATATAATTTTCCAAGCTATGTAGTGAGTCCCAATAAAAACAAAATATAAAAAAATATATAAACAAAAATTAAAAAGGATTCATATTTGTTGAAACTTGGATAAGCATGGAATAATAATAATACAACACAAAATGTACGTAAACAAAATGTATTGAAACAAGGAAAGGGTACACAATATTTACAGTTAGTTTTGGTATATTCTTGGGAAGACTGTTCCTGCATAATGGGTTGACTAAATCGCAGTCGGGCAGAGTCTCTGGATTCGATCTCTTCCCCGTCTTCCGGTACCAACCCATATTTATATGGTCGGTACTCCACTTATGTAAATTAGGTGTATCGTACACAACAATATTAAAGTAAAGCATTTGCAATTTCCTTTAAAACTCTTATTGCTTTCTTTTTCTCTCTCAAAACTTCTCGTCTCAACTAACAAGAAGGCAACCCTCAAATAAAAAAAAAGTGGAAGAAGAAAAGACTGAAATCAGCCAAAAAATGCCGGAAGTTTGCAGGAAAAGAGCTTATTTGGGACTGAAAAATACCAAAAAAAAAAAAAAAAATATGAAGAAGAAAAGAACACTGGAAAATAAAATAATTTTGGCCAATAAAAAAAAAAAATGACACAAAAAGACTTTTGATGTTAGCTGAAACCAATGTTCTCACCAGATTCTTGGAGCCAGTTCAAAAGGATATAAGCTGTCACTGCTGAGCTAAAAGCATCAAGAACAGTGAGAGTGACAACAAAAGATGCTACCACAGCGAAAACAGACATGCATGACACATGAAGAAATAGTTAAAAGGTCATCTGCTAAAGATATTTCTGCCCTGCTTAGGGATGAGAAAAACACAGTAGATTGACAATGACCTATTTACTACTAGCCCTTTTACAGCCTGACTTGAAAACCACCTCTGGACTTTTTTCAAAACTGCTACCAATATTCACCTAATAAATAGTTTGCTACACCAAATACTAAAGGACTCACTCATCAATCTAAAGAAAATAAATAAAAATATATTACATACCCTTGAGTCAATTTGTTTTATTCCAAAGTTTCCAGTAAAGAAGCTCCTAACACTTATCCCCTCTAGTGACCTTCCAATGTGAACACGTACATTGGCACATTCGTTTGTCATATCATGTGATCCAGAATTTTCTACTGTTTCTTCCTGATTCTAAACATAAGTTTTCTTGTAGTTGCCGTTTTTCTTAAAACTTCCTCATTACTCACATACTCCATCCATGGTATTCTCAGCATCCTTTTCTAGAACCACATTGGTTCCCTCAAGTTTCCACTTCCTCTATGAGTGATTAGCTGTCTAGATTCATAACTATTCACATTATTTACATTATTCGAACTGTTGTCCTCATCTTTATTGCCACATTTATGACATTTTGACCATTGTACACACAAGACTTCTTCAGGATGTGTCTATATTTCTGAGATGAGGTGCTGTAACTATTTACAGTGTACAGACTATTGTCCTCATCTTTACTGTCACATTCACAACATTTCAGCCATTGTATGCTCCAGTCTTCTTCCGTCAATATTTGTTGATTTGCTTCGTGGTTTATTTTGTTTTACAGCATATCAATGTCAATATGTTATTTAATGCTGACAACATTTTTAGGCTGGGCTTCATAAAACCTGTTGGCCTTTTTTGATTTCTTTTTCATTACATGGACAATTTTTTGCCCAATGCATAAGGTAGTTGTTCCTAAAATTTTTTCTCTGGGCTGTATTTTTCGGAGTAGAATTTGCTTGCACCTCACCAAATTTTATGTGATAAAAAAGTACATTTAAAAATAAAAAAACAAAAAGAGGGTTAAAGGGAGTTAACTTCAGATTCAAAATCAAAACGTTATCATTGATAACTCTCTTCTCCAATTTGCAGAGCCTAGTTACTATATTCTTAATACTTGATATAATGCCAAAACATCACAATGATAAAATCAGTCAGTAATCTTACTTATTATAAAACGCAGATTGTGTGTGTGTGTCTGTTCATTTATATATGGGATCATATTTCCTACATTTTTCAACCGATTTCAACAAAAACTCCACAGGACTACGTAAAATTACCCCTGTGGTGGTTCTGACAGTGCCAAAAATTGGAAAAACACGATTGTTCTTGCACGAAATCAATTTGAAAGCACGAGTAAGGGTATCGCACCTGGCCGGAACTTACTGCAGGCTACTCAAACGTCTGAAAACAGAACGAATGCTGTGTGACTCAGCGATTTTTTTTTCAGAGAACGATACACAAAAAGTAAAACAAATGAAACATAAATATACACAAGTCCTCCTAACTAAAAATAATAACCGGAAACTACTTTAAATACACATGTGTACAGTCAAAATGCGGAAGTTAATTTTTAGTCATCAACCAAAAGATATTGCCAACCGACTACGATTCTAACCGAAGTCAACATAAACACAGCCGATTTCTTCCATCAAGCAACTTGGCAAAAATATTTTAAGTCAAGTGATAGTGATTGCTGTATGAGTCGTACGATTTTTGAATCAAGGATGGACTCATGCATGCAATTACAAGTTATCTATAATAATATTTGAAATTTTGAAATCATATTTATTTTTGGCATCTGAATTTTTTGAAACTGTTTCTAAATCTTTGTCTTTCAATCATTCTGCCTCACCTGCTATCCTCTTCTGCTGCAATTATGAGGTGTGTGGCACTGTTTGGGAACCATTGGCATAAGGGAACCAAAGATTGCACACTTGCTTGAGCTTCCATCAGGACCAGGAAGAATTACGGCCATGGGAAAGTGACTGAAGCCGATTCTTCTTTGGATTTTATCACAGAGCTCTATATAAATAGCAAGCACACTGGACCATATGTGGCAAGCATGGGTGAATGGTAGATTTATAGATATACAAGATAGATATTGGAGAGAAAAATTGTCTTGCATGACACAGTGAACCAACTGTCTTAGCAGCTGACCTAGCAATGGATTCAATATAGTTTTCCACTTTATGTCAGCCAAGTAGGTTAGCCTGAGAAGACACAATGAGTCACTTTCCTGGAGGTTAGCATCAGCCATGCTGATGGAAGGCAAAGAGGGGTCTCTCAGATGATTAATGGAAAGAAGTTTAGTTTTGGAGACGTTAAAATTAACAAGCCATGTTTTGCCCCAGTTAACAACAAACTTGAGATCCCATTTTGATATCGACTTCCATTTTGATCTTGTCTAACTGATCAACCATAATATCAAGACTGGAGCAAATGGTTGTTTCATCAATATAGATACAGAGTTGAGAACTTATGTCATCGGGAAAGGCATTAATGAAAATTAAAAACAAAGTAGGACTAAGGATCGAGCCCTGGGGTGAGACCCATGTTAGTATGAAAGGATCTAGACGAGCAGCCATTCAGGATGATTTTGCATTAGAAAGAAATGACAATAATAAAATAAGATTTTGATAAGTGTTTACTTGGATTAATGAATTAACTGTTCTGTGCAGTGATCCTTATCCATTTTCCTTGGAACAGTCAAACCTATTTGTATATACAACCACTTTTGTTTGACGAACTAAAACAGGTAAATTTCTTTTTTCACAATGAGCTTCTAGCGATAAGGTATTAAATTTCCCAACCAGGTATAAGGCTGGTTGGGAGATTTAAGTTCTTGACTTATAACAGTGTAACAATATGATTTCTCACACATCTTTAGAAGATAAATAGTTAAATTACTTTTTTTTAAGTCCACTTAGTTATCTAAGTTTCATAGGAACTTTGTCTTCTGTTTATATTTGAGTAAACTTAAGAGGTCAATGTTTTGGGGATTTATGTTTAAAGCTGCCTTTGAATTGGCAAACATAAAATGTTGTTAATGATTTTAGATAATCATAAAAGTAGTCCTTTGTAGAAGCTGACCATCCATCCAGCTTTTTGGGTGATCTCCATTTCTGAAACACAAAAGGATGGATAGGGGTTGTAGGAACCCAGCCATTATCCATATAAGTAGAGAGTGGCAGGAAGTCTGAGAGAAAAGGGATCCTGCAGCGAGAAGTAGGTAGGTGACCAGTGAGTAGGTAGCTGCCCAGTGGTCAGGGAGGAAGGGACATGTAGCTGTTAAGGTGATAGCAGTTCAGCTAAAGGAAAGATAGCCGGATAAGTGAGAATTTGTATTGTTGCTATTTCCTAACCAGAGAGCCTTAAGAAGCATTTGTTGTTATTCTTTGTGAATTCAATTACGGCCAAGTGGACAAATATGTGACATAGTGAGCTGGGTGTATATACAGACACAGCTGACCTTGAACATCACCAGCTGATGCAGTGAATGACGGATGAGCAGAAGATATTGTCACAAAAATCGTCACAACAGCACAAAGCTTAATCAGAGTGACGGGTAAAAATAAGATTGGTTGTGTGATTGATTTTGTTTCGTGGCATATCAACCTCTATACCAAAATCTAAATATTTTGAAGGCAATTACATACCTTCAACTAAATATTTTGAATGCAATTGCATGCCTTCAACAATATATAAGATGCATTGTTGGTTATTTTGCTATAAAATGTATTGTTGCTAAATCTACTATAAATAGGGATGTTCTAATTTTACCATAAAAATAAATTTTTTATACTTTCATAGTTTTGTCTTTGTTTTGGGATTCACTATTTGTCCATAGTTGTGAGTTCAATACCTGGCCATAGCAGAGGTGAACAAAAAATAAATAAATTATTTACAGGGAGAATCTTAGTAATTAATGGATTTTTTTTATTTATAATTAGTACCATATTAAAACACACCAAACTTTATGTTCTACCCAATAACAGACAATATTAAAAACATACCAAAAACATTCCACAATACAACACATAGTTTTAAATCAATGTGTCTATTTGGTTAGAAATTAACATCAGCATATAAAATATTTGACCAATCAGAGAAAATTAAAACACTATTTTCTTGAAACTACTTGCTAAAAAAAAAAATCTTATAAAAACACAGATTTTGACTGTCAAGGAACAGAGATGTTGCTGTCTTCAAACCCAAACTTTCAGATTCATGTATTCATGTATTTATAAATATAAATGATTTATTTAACAGGCTGTTATGATTAATCAAGAGTGGTCTCCCTTTGTTTTGTTACTCTCCTATTTGAGAGAGCTATTTTTGTTTACTGGGACAAGAAAAGAACACTAAGGTGAACCTTGTATTTCCAGTTGAATAAAGTTTTCTTAAAGCCTACACCTGCATACTTTTGTCATTACACAGGCATTTCTTCAGTTTTATTTTATTATTATTTGGAATTTAGACATTCGGATTTTTAATATGAAAATGTGTGGACAACCAAATTTCCTACATATGTATACGTTTGAGTAGACATATCTATTTTTTAAACAGTATAATTTTCAACTAATGGCCAGAATATTTATAGAGTCTTTTATATAAAAAATATGCTATTTCATAGTGTTTGAACCTGCGTTCCCTAGGGGAAACCACTGCACATTTAAACCACTCAGCCATGAAGCAAGTCTTAATTACCGTTGTTAAAGGAAAACACATTCTTTTTTAAGAAGTTTTTCAAAACCCATATTTGCTCTTTTCCATTTTTGCATCCAAAACATAAATTTGTAAGGAATTAATGAATCTTTATTTATAATCTGACTTATTTCATATATTATATTTAGTTAATGTGTTTAAGTAGACACATGTTTCTCTAATAAATGGTATTTTTTTCCATTTCAATGGTTTCCCCCTTACATAAGATAAGATCATAAAGGAGACACTAGCTCAAATGCTGCTGAAGGGACTTGAAAAGCCAGACTGATAAACATCAATTACACAGTTTAAAAAAATGGATGTCTATTCAAAGATGTATTTATGTTTAGTTTAAAAGTAATAAAAAAAATAAGGGGTGGATCTTATAAAAACTGAAAAAACTTGGCAGAAGTCCAATACTTAACACTAAAACTACTTGACTAATAGAGAGAACACTTGTAACAAACCTGGGGACCATACAGGGTTGCAAAATTGGCTTTTTTGATGCGAAGGTTTTGAAATCTGGCTTTCTTCATGTTGGTCTGGCACCAGAGAATTGATTTGGCATTTTTGTATTTTTTTTTCTTTTTTACATTATAAAATTAAACAGTATATTAAAGCTGCTATGCTACAATCTTTTTTTATCCTCAATGATCTGCCTGAATTATGGGAGATCCTTTATCCAGAAGGAGAAGGGATCCCAGAAATTTATCATAAAAGAAAAAAAAAAATAGATAATGATTCTTTTGCAAACCTATATCAATTTCAGCAGCCTATCAAAAGGAAGAAATTTCTCTTTTATAATTCATAATTCTCTAGTATCTGTCTATATTTCTGAGATGAGTTACTATGTACACTATTTACATTATTTGGACTATTGACCGTATCTTTGTCGCTTTTTTCGGCCGTTATACGCTCCAGCCTTCTTCAGGTGGTTGGAATGTCAAAGTGAACCCTTTATTTCGCTCACTGGGGTAGACTGTTCTAGTTCCACGTACCATGTTTAATGGGTGTCAGTTATCAGTTATCTCCTGTTAATTCCCCTCTCCAAGTTCTCCACTGCCTTATCCAGGTATTGAACTCAAGGACACATGGCAGAGTGAATAAAGGCGTTTGTTAGATCCAGTGACAGGACCCAAAGGGTGTGAATTCAATACCTGGTTAAGACAGTGGAAAACTTTGAGAGGTGAATTAACAGGAGATAACTGATAAATGACATCCATTTAGTAACTAAACAGTACAGGCCAGGCTATACCCGAGACCTAACTAAGATTAGCAATATCTCCTAAACGGTAAAATTTCCTCATTTTTTTATTGCTATTTTTGTAATAATCAGGCTTTTTTACACAAGAAATAATGCATTTTTTTTTTTAAATTGGTTACTGGGTATAAATATGGAAGTTAATCCATAAAATTTGATTTGAAGTGAAACAAAATCAACCACACAACCAATCCTGTTTTGTTTTTTTAAATTGGTTATCTGCAAATTTACCCAATAGTCAAAAAAGTCTCATTTGATGGGAAATCTTTTGGGGGGGGGGGGGTTAGTGTTTTCCTTTTACAATTTTAATAATACTTTGACGTTTTTAAATAAATTTCATGAAATTTAAATTTTTAATTGAAACGATTTTTTTGTTTTTTAGTTTCTGTTTTTTACCTGAAGCAATATGTTGTTCGATTTCTGTTCCTGAGGTCAACTCCTCAACATACCGAGTGCTTTCACAGATTCCTGACTAAGGTGGCCATGCTGTACCCGGGAACCAACTAAGATTGGCAAAATACCCTCCTAAAAGGTGTAACCATTCAGCAATTTTTATTGCTTTTTGTAATAACCAGGCTTTTTTTTTTTTACACCAGGAATAATGCATTTTTTTAATTGGTCACTGAGGCATTATTAATATCTGCAAATTTACTAAATTTCCAAATTGACAGCTAAGAAAGGAAATACACTCAACTCAACAGTCAACACAAATGTTTCAAATTGAAACAATGAAAAAAAAAGAAATGATTTCATTTAAAAACGCCTTCTAATCTTCGCTTTTTTCTGTTTTTTTATGAAATTTTTTTTTAAATTTGGCATTTTTCTGGCTTTTTATACTTATTGTTTGGCTTTAAATAAAAATTTTAATCTGGCAACCCTGGACCGGGATAGAACTCAAAATCCAGACCCGCCGGGAGAGTTGATAAGTTTCCCGTCCACACGGGTTTAGGCTTGGTCGTTTCAAACACGCTTTCTGCCATAGTAAACAAAATAAACTAAAGAAAGAAACATAACAAAGTACTCGCTAGTCATATATCCGGGGTGGATGCTCGATTATTTCTAGTCCAGGTTTTCATTTAAAAAATAAAAATAAAAACTGTCAAATATACAAAGAAACTAAAATAAACAGTTAAAAAAAAAAAAAAAAAAGAAGAATGTATTTTTTTAGATTAACTTTTTTTTTCTGTGACCTTTTTTTTTCTTTTTCTCCTCGAGAAAAGAAAAGAAAAACAGTTTGTTTCGGGGAAAAATCAGGTAGGGCGGTTACACAAAAAACGAAAAAAAAAGTTTGTTTTTTACTAAGAAAAAAAAGAAAAAGTTCGTATAGGTATCCCCACGACACCTCCTAAAAGAAAAAAATGTGAAATTAAAACTGAACCACAAAAAAACATACAGATCTTCTTCTTCTTACCTGAAAAGAAGCTATACGCCCCTCCAGGGCCGTAGTGTCTTCGTCCTTTACTAACATCGTAAACCTGACCGAAAATGGCTAAATATATGGGACCTCCATTCACACCTTTATATTTAAATAATTCCGGTTTGGTAAATATTCTTAGAATATCTTCCTTATTTTGGTTTCTTTCATCTACTGACCGGTATTCGATCGTTTGCGATGTCCGATAAAACTTCTTTATTTGCGAAACTAGGCTATACACAAGATCATTTTTTTCTCTCCATATTTTTCTGTAATCGCCGAAGCCCAGAAGCCAACCCACCAGGACGGCGATGCAAACACATAATAGAGTTTTTGATATCATTATATATAGTTACCGTCATTTAAAAGTGATAAATTTCTTTAGATCTGTTTGTTCTCGCCGTCGATGCAATGACGCGGAAATAGTTTGAAAGATTCAAATGGACTTATTCGTTATTTTGGCCCCAGTAGACATCCATAAATGAAATGAACTACACAAGTAAAAGTTGGTCACTCTCCTCTTACATGAATTTTCTATTTCAAATGGCTGACACGAAAATGATACTGTTCATACAGATCTTCTCGATGTATGACAGCGTCAATGAAAGTGAATAAACTGAATCCAGTACATGTGTTTGGTATTACTGTATAACTTGGTCTTATTGCTTTTAATTACGACATGACTTTCGGACCACCCTGTATTGTAAAAATATTTGATGAAAAGTAAAGTTGTTGATAAATGTGTTTTTTGTTGTTCAGTTTTTTTTTTTTTAATTATTTAAAAACTTTTATCCTTTAAAAAAAAAAGGAAAATCATTGTTTACTCACACGATAGTTTAAATTAAAACTTTTAAAACTTTATAGCATTTTTTTTTTATTTAATTAATTGTACAAGTCAAATGTAGTAAATTGACACACTTCTCAAAACAAAATCTGAGCCAGGGCAAACATCAAACGTAGACAGCGAATTGAATAAAAAAAAAAAAAAGGCGGTTAAGGAAGCTTAATTGATTAAAAAATAAAAAGTAATGATGCAATCCCCTCACTATTTTGAAAAGTATACCTCGGGCTTGTGCAGGCGTGTACAACCACCGTCCTCCCGGGTGGGGGGGGTGCTGACAATATTTATTATTGTAAAAAATACAACAAATGTGGCACAAGGCCCAAAAGAGGGTTGGGGTAAAGGACGGTCATCACTTGTCTTAAAACTTAGCTAGCCACAACCACTGACCCTATCACCAAAACAACACATTTTTTATCCATACCTTTCTTACTACATTCACCAAAATACCTCGTTGACTCAATGAAAATCCTAAATACTCCCCTTATGTACAAATATTGTCTGTGGGGGGGAGGGGCATAAAAACAACAATTTTTAAAAGATCCCCAATGAGTATATACAATATGACATAATATATTTACAAGAAACTAAATAAAAAGATGTTAGTAATAAAAAAAACCACAAACTTTAAATGTGACAGAAATAACCGGACGAAATCGATGCGGGACTATGAAAATAAAGGAAACATTCATTCCTCCCAAGCATTCACACAGGCACACACACATTCATACACAACAACAAATACGAAAAACACACACGAGAAACGAAAGGAGGGGGCGGTGCTGACTGGGGGCGGGGGTCCCGGGCAGTGCTTTATGACCCACGCTACATTTACATAAATTAAACTAAGTACAACTGACTATTAAATTAAAGGTTGAAAATTTTCACAGATTTTGACGTTATTCAGGGGATCTATTTTTTTGATTTTTCTTCGTCCAAATCCCTGAATTTTTATTTTTTTAATTTTTCAAACAGGTTAACCACAACATTAGTCTTGCTGTGTCTCGTCATGCCTGCCTTGTTCTTTGATCTGAAATTTTGTCACAAAAAGATACAACTAGGAAACTTAACAACACAAGATCCATCTACCCACTCGGTGAAAATTGCACACACAAAAATGATAAATGCTATGGCGTAATAGAGGCCACATCCTTTTTTTAGTTTTTGATTCGTTTTTTTTATCTTCCCCTTCCCCTCGCCCAAGGAAGGCCGTAAAGCCACTAAAACACAAGGAATTACTGGGTTTAAGAATTAGAAACAAAAACATTATTAATGAGCGTGAAGACAAAAAAAGAGTAATCGGGATAGGTTTTGATTTTATTAATCTTTTTTGTTTGGTTGTTACAAAGAAAGTTGCCATTGAAAGTTCAAAAATGGACCACCACAAACAAAATACATTGAATAAAAAAATTCTTATATTTAAATTTTCTTTAATTATCAATAATTTATGATAAATTTAAAAATGATATTTTTATTATATAACGATTATCTTGTGAATAATCTCCATTTTTAAGAATACCTAGTAAATACAGTATTTATTAATTTAATTTTTAATTAGGATTTTTTAGACTTGCTATTTATTTTTGAATTACGATTCATTAGCGAAACATTTTAATCTGAAATACGAAAAATAAAATAAAACTGATATGTATCTATATTTCTGAGATGAGGTACTGTAATTATTTACATTGTTCAGAGTGTTGTCTTCATCTTTATTGCCATATTTACGATGTTTTGGTCGCAATTTGCTCCAAATGTCAGGCGATTAGAAGAGGCATGGAACTAGAACAATCTACCCCGGTGGACGGAATAAAGGGTTTAGCTCAAAATTCTAATCATCTTCCTTCCAGGGTCCAGCATTCAGGTCTTCCCCACAAGCTGAAAAGATACAGTGTCTCCGGACACTTTTTTGAACTGATCAAGTCTTTCCTATCAAATCGTGAAATGAGAGTTATCCTGAATGGCCACTCATCTAGATTCTTTCATACTAATGCAGACATCCCCCAAGGTACCATCCTTGGTCCTACTCTATGTTTATTTTTCATTAATGACCTTCCCTATGACATCAGCTCTCAACTTGGTATCTACGCTGATGACACAATTTTTTTCCTGCTTATGTATGCGACAAAAGAAATAAAATATCAATCAGTTATATGCCATGTGTGATACATACTTAGCCGATCATGTATTTTTCGATACATGATAGACAAGGTAGATTTTTTCTCGTAGTAGTTTGCCATTTCTTTCTGCGGTAGACCAGTTGCTATCCAAGGCTATAGAACTCGGTCTGAAATGCTATTTACCCATAGCTGGGCAGAGAAGAAGAAGATTCATACCTTTCCCAAGGGTATTAGAACGTAAGTGAATGTAATGGATTCGACTGGAATTTGAACTCGGCTCTCCGATTTTTCAATCCAAGACACTAGCCATTACTCCACAATGCCTCCCCTATAAAATATACAAAATTGTTATACTGAAACACACCTATTCTATAGTTAATAGACTCTCCCACCTATAATAAGTAGTAGTAGTAGTAGTAGTAATAGTCGCAAAGTTGCTCAGTGAGTTGGTCAGTCAGTCGATGTCGGACGACCGTTAGTCGGATATTAAAATATCAGCCACCACAACTAGATTGCTGCGTCATTAACTATTATATCAAGTTCCTAACGTTTTGTACGTCGAACCTATTTTAGGACAGACTTAGTGAAATACAAGCCTCCACTGTGAAACTACTCTATAACAAAAAGCAAATTGAACAACAGGAAAACCAACTAGGTAAACAAAAAAGGTTTTATTTTAATTTTAGCGATTTGGTCAATGGCTAAAAGGGAATAAAAAACATAAAAGGCTTACCGGCAAGAAGTTAGAAACACTTCAAAATAACTTCAGCCGGGTGTTGCTGTTTTTTGTGGTATAGTTTACATGTCAGGTCAATGAAGGGTAGTAAATGGACTGCCCTGAAGCAGGTTTCGGCAACAGCTGACTTTGCCATTCCGCTTGCTTAATTTTTTCCACCAACCAACGAATGCCCGGATGAAAGACCGCCATTTGTAAAGTTATTCAACCACATCAAATGACATAAAACTGGAAATTTCATTCATAAAAATAGATTCTCTTAACAACCCTATAGACTCTTGTTGAGACATGTCTGGTTATTTTAGGAATACTGCTGAAAACCTGTTCTTCCTGTCAATCTGGTTTCTTGGCTTCAAGCCTATTTCACAAGCAACTGATTAAACAAAAGATCTAAAGAACTAAATTACATTTATATTGAATAATTAATTCCTCCAAAAGTAATTCTTATAATTAATTTTTTTTTCTTTCAATAAAGTAAGGCAATAAAAGCCACTAGAAGACAAGGGCTTACTAGAGAGGTGATTGATATTGCATTTAAGTGCTCAATAAAAAAAAAGCAATAGATTAAGAAAGATCATTGAAAACTTGTGACGACTGATGTGACTGAAAAATTCAGGAAGAATTTCTTCACTTTTCATTAATCCCCAGATCGGACTCTCTTCTGTGAAAAGTACGATAACTAGACGCTCAAAATTCAGTGAGTTGTTTAGCCAGACGAGACGGGCAGAACGAAAGACGAAAGGTGTCTGTAAATAACCTTTAAATAACGAATCACAAGATCGAGCAGCAATTAATCAATCATAAAAGAACCAATCAGAGATAAGTAAATACGCGAGAGTCGATTTCTCAAGGTCATGAATATTCAAGAAATTTATTCAAGGTTATTCAAGGTCAATTATTCCTGAAAGATAAAACAGTGATAATAAATTTGCGGTTTTTTTTACTGGGAACCTTGTAGTTGAAAGGAAAACAAGACGTCAGTAGAGAGCTCCACAAACAAGAAGTCTGGAAGAAGAAACTATTAGCTATCAACTGTGAAATTATGAGACCTAACTGCCAATCTAGTACTATGCTTAAATTTGTGAAGTCGAGGTACCAAAGCTCATCAAAACAATTACTGTGAAAATAGTTATAGAAAAGGTATAGGGAATCAACGTTATGACGGTGGGAAGGTGACTGAAGCCAAGATGCAGGACCAATAATGTTGCAGTTGGCAAGTATTAATAAGAATAAAATTAAAGTATTTGGAAATTCCAACATGAAATATCTCATTATTATAATAGGAAAGCCGAGAAATCTAGAAATCTGTCACCGTATCATATTATAGATGAGTGTCGTGTCATGTCTCTTGTAGAAGGCCGTGGCGGTTACCACTTGT